CGAAGAAGGGAAGCAGGCAGGAGATTGTCAGAAATGATCTCCCGATTGTTGCTTTATTTTGAAGAAGTGGAGCCCCTGAGTTTGGCAGAGCAGGGGTAAGGGGCACTGCAGGAAGACTGGGGTGCTCAGGATTGAGATGTGGGGCAGCAAACCCAATCCTCTGCATGTGCACGCACACTTCATCTCTGATTGGGGATATCTAACCTCAGCCATGGAGCCGTCCCTGTGGATTTGAATGAGAGGTGTGTGTTGGCTGCTGTGCTGGAGTTACAGACCTGAGAATTGCTGCTGTCTTAGAGCACATAAAGGGCCAGGTGATGGGCCTGAAGTGAACCCTCCTGTCGTCTCTCCCACACCCTCGCTAGTTTCTCAGTCTTTGGCCATCTCTGTTCCTCTCACAGTGGTCCTCATCCTGGGGACTAAGACGGGGTTCAGAGTCCCAAGAACAGAAAGAAGTTCAAGCTGGAAGGTGAGGCCTTATGCCTGCACACAGCCCCAGCTGCCACACGGGGGCACACTCCTTCCACTTGCTTTCCCTCTGCTACCTCTCCGAGACATCCCCTCCTTTGTGGGTCTTATTAAAGAAGAGTTGTTCCCCACGTTAAAGTCAGCTCCCCATTAGAATCACGCCCTTCCCCCATCTACTTTCCCTTGGTGTCCTTCACAGCAGGTGAGCGTGTTACACTGACTTCTCTCCTAAGGCATCCCTCTTATGTCCTGTCTGTCCCACAGTGGGCCCGGAGCCCCGAGAAGGGCAGGCAGAAGAGGTGCATTCTCCAGGGGACAATAAACTGTTGTTTTAAAGTCTGGCGAGGAGGAAGAATTTCGGGTGATATTTTCCCTGTCACTGGGAGGCAGCATTACCCTGGTATAGTTTTGGCACTTTTCAAAGCTTCCATTAAGTGGAAGGAGCTAGGGCCAGAGGGACTTCAGGGAATTTAACAGTCAGCACCTAAGCTGTTCACCCCACGCCCAGCCCTGTCCCAGCCAGCCCAGGGGAGAGTCCAGCTGCAATTGCTTGTTTGTGTGAAACAGGGTCTCACTGTGTAGCTGAGACTGGCCTCAGACTCCCAGCTATCCTCCTGCCTCAGTCACCCAAGTGCTAGGATTCCATGTTGGAGCCACTGGGGCCCTTGCTTAGGGCCCCCACCCCACCCCCATCCCCTCCCCCATCCTCTTGGCTCTCTCCAGGGCTGGCTCTTCTTGCCACGCCCCACCCCCACCACCTGCTGCTTCTCTGAGCTCTCTCTCCTCTGCTTTCACCTTGAATGGAACGAGTTGACCAGAGACCAGCCCAGCCTCCGGCAGATGGAGACCCGGTGGGGTCATTGAGACAGCCATTCCACCACAGAGTGGGCTCTCTCCCGTTCAGATGTTTCAGGAAGTGGGAATGTCTCTAGACATCCTCTAACGAACAGCCCTGGGTGTTAGAAATATTTTCCTAACACGAGCTCTCAATCAAGCCAAATCAAAACAAGCCAAATTAAGAGAGATCCAGGTTTAATGGGAGTTCTGCGCTCTTGGGTGGCCCCAAGAGGAAACCAAAAAGCCGCCAAATGCAACCACCTGGAGGAAGAAAAGGAGACCACGTGTTCCTCTTTTGGGAGTTCATTTAAATATTCTTGGGCGTGGTCCTGACCTCCCCTCCCTGGCCTGTTGGGATTTGGAGTCCACAGTGCTTACTCTCAGGGTCAGGGGGCTAGGATAGACGCAAGGGCCTGGGGCCTAAGCTCCCAACTTAACACTGGGACCTATAGCTCATTAGTGCAGTAGAGCGCATTGGCGCATTGGTCTCGTGATCCTTTACTGCTACAGCCGCCACAGCCCTAGAGGAGGATCATAGGCAGCTCCATTGGAGGTAGGGTTTTGCTGATCACAGATGTTCCTCCAGGTTGCAGAAGAGCCAGCACAGGTGACAGTGTGTGTCTGTGGTAAGGGCCCAGCCAACGCCAGTGAAAGAGGTCCCTTGGCGGGAAGCTGCCCTACTGTTCTGAGTCTGTGTGACGAGACAAGTGCAGGCTTGACCCTCCTCCCATCTGCTGCTGGAGCCACGGCCTTATCTAGGAAAGGCTGGCAGCCATCTTGGTATCTGTCAAGTTCCCCATCAATAGGAGGCAACAGAGAACATGATGTCTCACCAAGTGCCTGATTAGGGGCCTCAACAGGACATTTCTGTCTAGTCCGCCCTAGTTCTTCTGTTCTCCAGGAGGGAAACACCTCTCTCGTCCAGGTGTAAATCCACAGGGGGAGAATAATGCGGGCAAAGTTGGGGTAGTCAGCAGAACAGCAGTGGTTTAGACCCACTTCTGTTTATTCTAGAACTTACCCAACTGGGTGTGGTGGCACACAACTCAGGAGACAAAGGCAGGGGAATCTGTGAGTTTGAGGCCAGCCTGGTCTACATAGTGAATTCCAGGCCTGCCAGGGTTACACAGTGAGGCCCTGCATCAATAAACTAAAAAAAAAAAAATAAAGCCAACCCTTAGATGCTAACATAAGGTATTAAACTATCTACTTACAAAAGCTATTTGTTTACTTACTTTCAAAGTCATTTTGATTAATTTATTTTGGGGAAGTGTGAAGAGGTCAGGGAGCAGGGGGCGGCTAGTTTTTCTCCTTGTACCGTGAAGGGCCTGGAGATCTAAACAAGCAGTTTTACTCACTGAGTCATCCTCCTGGCCAATATTTGTTTTGAAGACAGGGTCTCACGTATCCCAGGCCAGTCTGGCACTCACTATGTAGTCCAGGACGACCTGGAACTTCTGAAGCTCCCGAGTCCACCTTCACAGTGCTAGGATTATAGTGGGATTATAGGTGTGTGCCACGCCAGTCTCCCCTTGCAATGATGAGAATTGAACCCACGACTTTGTGTGCCAGGCCAATACTCTACTCCCTGAGCCCCAGCCCTAACACAGTGCTAAGGCCTGTTATTTTGCAATAAAAGCATGCTTAATAATATGGGGGAATCAAGTCCATGTGTGGCCCCTCCTTTGAGTCCTGTTTGGCAGGAAGATTGGCAGGCGTGCCTCTGGCAGACCTGTTTCTGACATGGCATGGTAGTAACCAGCCAGAGAGGCTGTCTACTAGCTCCCCATGCTGGGGGTGTGAGTCTCTCCTGACTCCTGCCCCTGTGTCAGCAGACATGACCTCCCTCGCCTGCAGTGTAGTCGAGTTAGTTTCTCGACTCCAGGACAGCTCTCACACATCAAATCTCTAAGTCTCTGCCCCCGCCTCTCAAGGAACTTTCATTTCTGTTTTGCGTCATTCCTGAGTTCCAGACCATGACACTCAGAGGTGTGCGCGTGTACTAGCAAAGTCCTGATGGAAAGCTGCCTTGATCAATCCAATTGATCGGCCTGTGAATGGCAGGTGCAATGAACAGGCCAGCAAGAAGGAAAGTGCATGCGGGGGGGGGGGGGGGCGCCCAGCAGTCATTCCAAATAATGTAGGGGCAGTGTGTGAGTGAGCGGGCTCACTACTGTGACCAATACCTGACAGTGGCCAGTTGACAGAGGAAGGATCAGCTCCAGCTCATGGAACCAGAGGGAACTGTCCGTCATGCTAGGGAAGACAGTGCAGACGTGGTCCTCACATTCCTATGGGTCAGGAAACAGACTGGACTGGAAGCAGGACTGGGCTATAACCTTCAGATTCTGCCCTCAATGGCTCACTTCCCTCCATCAAGGCCCTACCTCCCGAAGGCTTCACAGCCTCCTGAAACAGCGCCACCAGCTGGGAACCAAGTGTTCAAACAGGAGGCGTTGAGAGGCAGCTTATATTCCTACAGTAACAGGTGGGTCAGCTGTTTAGGGCACACACGGGTCTTGCAGGTGATGAGAGTTTCATTTCCAGACCATAATACACTGGGGTTTAGAGTTTTGGACTCTGCCATGTTGACTTAACCTGGTGTGCACTTGACATGGTTCTCAGTAAGGAAGGCTTTATTGAATCATCCTTGCACTCCCAAATTGCATCATACAAATATAGAGGGTTCGTGTGTTTGTGTGCGTGTGTGTGTTTGTGTGTAGCCCTGCCAAAGACAGACGCTGGAACTTTATACCTGGTAAGTCACAACCACATGGTGATTCACAGATTAATGGAAATGGATTAGTTTAGGATATAAGAGCAAGCTAGAAATATGCTTAAGTTACTGGCCAAACAGTATTGTCATCAATACAGATTTCCATGTGGTTATTTTGGGTCTGAGCTGCTGGGTGGTCGGGAAATGAAATAACAGCCTCTTACTACACCCAGAAGTGTGTCTCTTAGGTGAGTCTAAACCCTGCCAAGTTCACAGTTAATGTTGGAGGCTGTCCCACGCTACCGTCTCGCCAGCAAGAACGACGCGGGACACTTAGGATCCTTCTGCAGAAAAGCTTTAATGCGTCTTGAGAGAGAGAGCATAAGCTTACAAAGCGGAGACCCAGAATGAGGGGTACCCATCCCTTATATAGGAAACAGTCCTCGCTTCGGACGTGTCACTCTTGGATTGGTCCGCTGCCCATCAACCCAGATGACGCCTCGGGAGTAGGCAGGGCCAGCAGCAGTGGAAAGTTATTAAAGGCGTATGCTCCAATACCTTGAACTCACAGAGATCTGTCTCTGCCTCCCAGGCATAGGGATTAAAGGCGTGTACTACCACACCTTGAGGTCACAGAGGTCAATCTGCCTCTGCCCCTTGAAGTCAGAGGTTAATCTACCTCTGCCTCCCTTGTGTTGGGATTAAAGGTGTGTACTGCCACACCCTGAAGTCACAGAGGTCAACTACCTCTCCCCCTTAAAGTAATGGAGAATGTGGTTGCGGCCCTCCACAGGAGGCTTTGTGCCTACAGTTAGCCTCCCATGCAGAATTTTTAGCTCTTTATAGAGAACATAGGGATCAGGACCCAGATGGTCCCTTCTCGGGCGGAACATCTCCACCCTCCTCGCGTTTCTGGGTAATAAATGAATACATCCCAATGCAAGATGCTCACCAAAGGATTGTTCTCCCCCATTCTCAGAGAGATTCTTCTCAGCTCCTCCAGTACCACCACTTCAGACAGCCCAGATCCATCCTCGGGGGACCCTGCAGTCAGTGCCCTTCAGCAGCAGCTGCTGCTCATGGTGGCTCGAAGGACACAGTCAGAAACCCCACGGGTATGTGTGCGCCAGTATTGCTGTAAGCAGCTGCTGTGAAGAAAGCCTTGGGTGTGCGTGTGCACGTGCCTCTGTGTGTGTGTGTACATGTGTGCTCACGTGTGTGCATGTGCCTCTGTGTGTGTGCGTGCGTGTGCGTACATGTGTGTGCCAGTATTGCTGTAAGTGGCTGCTGTGAAAACCTTGGGTGTGCGTGTGCACATGTGCCTCTGTGTGTGTGTATGAATGTGTGTACATGTGTGCACCAGTATTGCTGTAAGTAGCTGCTGTGAAGAAAGCCTTGGGTGTGCGTGTGCACATGTGCCTCTGTGTGTGTGTATGAAGGTGCGTACATGTGTGCACCAGTATTGCTGTAAGTGGCTGCTTTGAAAGCCTTGGGTGTGTACATACACATGTGCCTCTGTGCATGTGTGCGTATATGTGTGTGCACGTGTGTGTACATGTGTGTGTGCGCATGTATGTGTGACATGCGTGCATACATTTGTGTTCATATTGGAGGATGCATTGCGGATGCAGGTATACATATGAGCTTGTGTGTTTGGAGTCTGGAGGACAGTCTCAGGTGTCAAACTTGAAATCATCCTCAGGAACACTGTCAATCTCCCTTAAGACAAGGTCTCTCTTTAGCCCAGGATGCTCCAGATAAACTAGGCTGGCTGACCAGCAAGCCCAGGAATCCACCTGTCTCTGCCTCCCAGTGCTGGGATTTACAAATGTTCACCACTCACGCCTTTTCTCACATAGGCTCTGGGAGTCAAACGCAAGTGCCCTGCTTGTGTGATAAACATTTCACTGACCAAGTCACCTTCCCAGCCCCAGCAGAGGTCTTAAGGCCTGTCCCTCCTCGTGAGTCAGAGCTCACCCCGAGTTTCCCGTGAAACATCACTAGAGGGCAGTCTTAATGATGGAAAAAAGACCAAAGACCTTGCAGCTGGCAGACAACCCTCAGCAAACGTTACCGCATTCTGCTGTCTCAATCACCTTCCCAAACGCAATAGAAATCCCTTCATATTGTCATAGTGACCTTCCGTTGTTCGGATGCATGGACCCCTCAAGAGCATAGTTGTCTCTTCTGCCTTACCCCACCTGATTTCGAAAATAATTGCTTTTTTAAAAATTACGATAACTTTGCATTTACTGACTAATATACAAAGCTTCTTAAATATTTAATTTGGAAGAGTTTTTTGTTGTTGCTATTGGTTTGGATGATGCCAAGGGTATCAAACATGAAGTGTTCTGTTATTTTACTAAGACATTCTTTGTTAATGTTCGTTCAGTCATCCAGGCAAGCTCTAAAGAGGCTCCAGGGAGCCAGAGCGAGGATTCCCAGGCAGAGCATCAGGGAGAGCTGGACACAGACAGAGGCCTGCCTATGAGCTGCAACGGCTGCTGGGCCTTAGGGAGTAGGGGACAGGGAAGGCTTCTTAGGGGAAGTAATTCTTGGGGTTGACTTCCAAGAAGAGTGAACTTCCTCTGGCTCGGACTTAGCAGAGAGGATTACAGATGGGCTAAGCTCAAGTTCATGTGAAATTTCTTAGCCTCCTTGTTTGCCTTCCTCCTGGCAACGCTTCCATTCCTTCTAAAGTGCCTCGCCTTTGCAAAATTAATATGGTTTTATATTTGGTTTTTAAGATGGCTTTGCAAAAATCTCTCAAAGAAGTCATATAATACCCTATTGGCTAATGGGAAGGACAGGCAGTTCTCAAAAGAAGAAACACAAATGACCAATAATGATTTTAACATGTGTTCAACATCCCTAGTCTTCAGGGAGGTGCAAATTAAAACTGCTCTGAGACCCTCCTCACCGCAGTCAGAATGGCCGCCAGGAAATGTGGCAAGGGTTCACTGCTAGTGGGCGTGCAAACGAGGGCACACTTACGGGACGTCACTGTGGAAGTTCCCTTTAAAATTAAAAGAAGGGGCTGTAGAGATGTCTCAGCGTTTAAGAACATACACTGCTCCTGCGTAGGATCCATGTGCGGTTCCCAGCATCCACGGCTTCCGACCTCCTGTAATTCCAGCTCCAGGGCATTTGATGCTCCCACCTGCAGTAACATTTACACACCCATGCCACACACACGTACACCTCTAACTAATGCTAACATTTTTAAAAAGAGCACTTATTTCTGTTGTGGGTATGGACCGAAAGGACAGCACATCCCACCACAGAGACACTGGCTCATCCCTGTTTATCGCTGTTCTGTTAACAGCAGCTGGGAACTGAACAACTGAGGTGTCCATCAAGAGGTAATGAGAATGTGGTACGTGCATACATCAGGGTTTTATGTATCTATAAAAAAGTGAAAATTCCAGGAAAATGGATGGTTCTAGAAATTATTGAGTGAAATAACTAGACTCAGAGACATGAATAACACATTTTCTCTCATAAGCAAATTTCAGTGTCTAAAATTTAGATGTGTGTGTGGGGAGGTATTAGTCATGAAACTAAGGGACAGCATGAGAGGGACCAAACAGGTGGTAAGGAGGACTGGGGGTCAGCACAAGGAGGAGAAGAACAGGGGAGGAAGGAAAAAATGAGGCATGAGGGGAACCACTGAAGATCACGTTGTTGGATATGACAACAGGATATTCAATACCTTGCTAACTTAAAAAAATAAATCAATGAGAAAGATGACTCAATGGTTAGGAGCACTGGCTACTCTTACAGATGACCTGGATTTGATTCCCAGCACCCATATGGTCGCTCACAACTGCCTTTCTCCAATTCCACAGGCACCCGGCATACACAGAATGCACAGATATATATATATATATATATATATATATATATATATATATATATATATATATACAGGCAAAACACCCAAACACATACAATAAAAATAAATAAATCCAGTATGGTGGATGTGGGTGCGGCTTCTGCCTGGCTCTGCCCCACTTACCATCAGAGACTGCACCCTTTCCCCTTCCCTGAGGCCCACGCACCACACAGCGTCTCCCGTTCAGCTTGTATCATTGAGGTCACCCATCTTTCCTGGACCTCTGAGGCCCTCGGATCTTGGCTGTGGGCTTTTGTCACACACAGGTCTTAGGTTTGTGAGTTCTTTCAGCTGTACCTCACGGCCTGTGCTCAGCTCTCACCCCAGCCCTGGCGCAGGCAGCCTCTGCAGAATGTGTACTCTGAGAAACTTGGTCCCTCCCAACCCAGGCTGGCACAGGGCCCCTGCTTCTCACACTTCCAGGAGATTCCCCAGTTATTATTGAAACAGCTTGGGAAGGCGGAGGAGCTGGAGGTGAAGGGACCTTTGAGGACGTTAGAGGCACTAACAAGCCTCAGAGGCATCCCGGTTCTAGCAGAAACTCAAGACTGAACAGAGATTGCAAAGACTGATTAGACGCAGCTATAAGTACCCTTTATTTCACTCTTAAGTGGGGCTTACAAGATGGCTTAGGCGGTAAAGGCTCACATAGCAAAACCGGAGGACCTGAGTTCAATTCCCAGGACCCATATCGTGGAAGGAGAGAAGCAGTTCTCACAAGTTGTCCTCTGACCTCTGCACACACATACCGTGGTGCACATACACATAAGTGCAATTAAAGACAGAAACTAAATATACAGCCACATAAAGTACTAATTTACCATAGCTTTATTGTTACTCAGCCAAATCCAGTGAGAAGTTTCTGTAGGGTTTCTATTGCTGTTAAGAGACTTCATGGCCACGGCAACTCTCATAAAGGAAAACATTTAATTGAGGACTGTCTTACAGTTTCAGAGATTTAGTTTGTTATCATCATGGCGAGAAGTATGACAGCATGTAGGCAGGCAGCCGTGGTACTGGAGAAGGAGGCGAGAGTTCTAATTCTGGACCAGCAGGCAGCAGGAAGAGGGTGACTCTGGGTGTGGCTTGAGCTTCTGAAACCTCAAAGCCCCACCCCTTGTCCCCCAGTGACACACTTCCTTCAAAAAGGCCAAACCTACTCCAACAAGGTCACGCCTCGTAATAGTGCCACTCTCTATGGGCCTAAAGGTGCCATTTTTATTCAAACCACCACACTGCCTTTTCTGTTTTAAGTTAAATATAACATGCTTGTATTTTGTGGTTTTATTCCGTGGGGGAATAAAGGCTGCTAAATGCCTCCTGCTGGAAATGTACATTTGTACATTTGTAAAAGGATCATATGAGGTGGGGGAAGCAATTTTTTAAAGTTCTATTTTTTTTTTGTTTGGTTGGTTGGTTTTAGCTTTTGATTTTTGAAGACAGGGTTTCTCTGTGTAGCCCTGGCTACCCTGGAACTCACTCTGTAGACCAGGCTGGCTTCAGACTCACTGAGATCCACCTGCTTCTGCCTCCCAAGTGCTGGAATTAAAGACATGTGCCACCACTGCCGTGCTAAAAGTTCTTAAACGTCTACAAACCGACTTAACGTCACCAGAAGTTAAATGAGGCTTTGCTTACAAAATAAAGCTGAGATGGTTTCTTACTTGTGACCCCACAAACATTTGCTGGAGACTGGATGCCTTCACTGACTCTAAGGGCCGCACATGTGCTGGTGGATATTCTGTCCAGCTTTTAGATGTTTCCTAACCTATCAGTCAGTGTCTGGCTGAGATGGCCACTGCAGTGGAATCAGGTACCCTGGAGACAGATGCTACAGTCCCTGGGCGGGATTGTACTTAGTCCCTTACTGGCCTAAGGAGGGAACAATGGCAGCATGGGCGAGACCTGCAGGGGAGGCAGCTGCAGGCACACTTCCTGCACCAGCCAGGACTTGCAGGGTTAACAGCCCGCCTACTATTCTTAGCACAAGCTGCATGCCTCTTTTTCTCCCCATCGCCCTCCTGCTCTCTCTGGCTACACATGTGTGGAGCCCCAGGCTCAGTCCATAACCTTTGGGGTCTTTTAGTTCCTCCCAGCCTTGGCCAGAACATGCAGCACCCCTGGACCCCACATCACCAGAATAGCACGCTGAGTCACGGGTGCATATATTTCTTGCCCATGCTGTAGCAGTGGACATCAGGGCTAAGACCTTTGAGCGTAAGGTTTGCTGCAAAGTCAGGCCCATGGCCATTTGTACAAATTCCTGCTGATGCAGCACCAGGTGGCTTCCAAGCTGGTGCCGTGTCTTGAAATAGAGCTTGCTTATTTGTTTTATATCAACTTGACACAAACTAGAATCACCTGAGAGGAGAGAGCCTCAATTGAGAAAATGCCTCCATAAGACTGGGCGGTAGGCGAACCTGTAGGACATTTTCTCATTTAGTGATCAATGGAGGAGGGCCCAGCCCATTGTGGGCAGGACCATCCCTAGGCTGGTGGTCCTGGGTTCTATAGGAAAGCAGGCTGAGCAATCCATGGGGAGCAAGCCAGTAAGCAGCATCCCCCAGGGCCTCTGCATCAGCTTCTGCCTCCAGGTTGCTGCCACTGGGTTCCTGCCTTGTATGAGTTCTTGTCCTGACTTACTTTGATGATAAGTGTAAGCAGAATAAACCCTTACCTCCCCAGCTTTCTATCTTGGCCATGGTGCTTCATCAAAGAACCCAGACTTCATGTTGCTCTGAGTGTCTCAGCCCCACTGCATTCCCTGCCCATTAGCTCCTGGGATTATCCTTGGGACAGGGTGGCTTTTCTTTCCTATGCCTTATATATGCATCAGGACTTTATGTTCAGGGTAGCGTCCTAGTCCTTAAGCTGAGTTACCAAGCCATGTTGGTGCCGCAGGGAAGGCAGAGTCTGCTCTCACCCAGGGCTCTGCAGGAGCCTGTGAAAGAGCATCTGGGCCTCTCTGAACACATACCAGGCTCTTGGATAGCAGCAACTGTCCTTGAAATTGATGACTGCAATTCCCAAACTCACCCAAGGTGTGTGTGTGTGTGTGTGTGTGTGTGTGCATGTGTGTATGTGTATGTGTGTATATGTGTGTATGTGAATGTATATGTGTATATGTATATGTGTGTATGTGTATGTATATTTGTGTGTATATGTGTGTGTATGTGTGTGTATGTGTATATGTGTGTATGTGTATGTATATTTGTGTGTATATGTGTGTGTATGTGTGTGTATGTGTATATGTGTGTATGTGTATGTATATTTGTGTGTGTATATGTGTGTGTGTATATGTGTGTGTGTGTGTGTATGTGTGTCAGGGGGGAATCTGACAGCCTATGGGCCCTCCCTAGCACAGGCTGACATGACTTTTGTTTGCTTCTGTGTCACTCCTGCCTTGAATTTTGATCCGTGTGATTCTTTGAGACGCCCATCGAAGCGTCACACTTCCAGATTAAAGTGTATTTTTGTTTCTGCTAGGTGTGAAGAGATGCTTTAAGGTAAATTCTCTGAGGGATTTGGAACATCCACCTGGTGTGAATAAGGGCTACAAACCTGCAGGGGTGGGAGGAGGGGACCCAGGAGTCCTGAAGCCTCAGGAGAGCTGTGGATTTCATCTCCCCCACACCCAGCCTGAGGCAGGCATTCTTCCATGCAGCCCCCTGGTGAACTGACCACAAAGTAGATGTAGTTCATCTGAATTCTGGGGTCCCAGACTTCTGGGATGGTTGTGGTGGGCACCCCACCTTCTGCTTGGTTTCCTGTTCCAAACTCCAGTTCCTCACGAGGTCACTATGTGGTCACCCCCTCTGCTTCCTGCTTCATCTTTAAGTCTTCTCTAGATGCAGACTCTGAAGAACTAGCATACATATATGTGCACATGCGCACGCACACACACACACACATTGTGTGTGGTGTACACACAATTGTACCCACCTACACAGTACATACACTCAAACACACATACACATGTGTACCCACATACACTCACACACATACTCAGATATGCACACACACACATGCACCCACATACGCTCATACACACACAAGTACACCCCCACCTACACTCTCATGCACATACACACACACACACACATACACTCATATGCACTCTCTCATTCACACACACACACTCTCAGACACACGCACACAAGTGTTTGTGCACACACATGCTAATACCTGCAGAGGTCAGAGGTCATCCTCAGCTGTGGTTAACCAGTCATTCTCTAGTTTTTGAAAAGGGTATCTCTGTGGCCTGGCACTCACCAAGTGATCTAAACTGACTGATCAGTGAGCCTCAGCCATCTGTCGGCACCTCTGCCGTGCTGGGGTTATAGGCACACACCACCATGACTGACTTTTTACATATGGGGGGCAAACTTGGGTCTTCACACTTCTGCAGCAAGCACCTTGCTGACTGAGCATTTGAAGTAAAATTTGGCTATTTAATAACAATTTAAAAATTAAGTCACTTAAAATTTTTCCCTTCGACTCTTGTCTTACACAATAATTATTTCCCAGGTGTGCCTTGACTTAATGAACAGAAGTGTTTTAAGTGGCGAGTGCCAGGATCTCAGCGACAGCATCTTCATGGAATTGGTGTGATTTAATCATTATTCTTTTCTTAGACTGGGCCTTTTAAACAAAACAGTTTGGTTTCAGAATGTGATCATCTTTTTGTGTCTTGGTTTAGATGTTTCAGTACTAGAGTTAAACTCAGGGCTTCAGAGCCTCTGAACTGGACAGTTATGGGGCTCTATGGGGGTCCTGGGCACTGAACTCCAATCCTGCAAGAACAGACAACACTTTTAACCACTGAGCCCTCTCTACAGCCCCCCTCCCCCTGCCCTTGTGCTTTTAAACTATGGGATGTTTCTGTGACAAGGGCATATCACAGTAACCCTCTCTTCTGCCTTCCGTCTGTTCTGTTTCTGGGGTGCGAAGCATGTGAGCCAGGACCTGGAAGACTCGTCGCGTTCCTCGGCGCAAGGAAGGTTTAACCGAGAGCAGTTTCACAAATTCATCATTTTCCCGGGGAAGTGGATCAAAGTCTGGTATGACCGACTCACCTTGTTGGCCCTATTGGATCGGTAAGCTCTCAGGCATGCATGGGCGTGGCCAGAAGACAAGGGAGGACACCAAGGAGCATGCTCATACTCCACTGCCCCTAAAATGCGCGTGGCTGCTTGCTAAGGTTCCCTGGGTTGTCTCCAGCCCACACCCCACTTTCCTGTGAACCCCAGTGACTTAGACATTGAATTTCACAGTTGCCATGGGAAGTGATGGTTGGACAGGATGGACTAGCTTGCAGGCTTGCCTGGGGAACCATCTGCTCTGGTCTGCTCTGGTCTGCTCATGCCCGGCCCTGTTCTAGCAGACATGCTCAGTTTCTGCAGCAGGAGGCCGGCCTTGCCTGGCCAGCTGTGACCCTGGGACAGAGGGAAGGAAAAGAGGGGTTGTGTTTACCTGTCCTCTGCACAGCTTGGATCCCTGCTTCTCTCTCCCCTCGGCTGGACACTAACTTGATGCTGCTCTCCTTTAGGCCCTTCCCTCATTGCCCCCTAGAATAAAACACTTTGTGACTGAAGATGTGGAGCCTGGGTGGGCACGGCAGGGAGGTTCCAGTTTGCTATGGTAATGAATATAATCTTAGAGTGGGGACTGCCTGTTTGTGGGCTCCCTGTCAGAACTGGGGAGGGAGGCACAATATTAGGGTTTTCAGAGGCTGTAGTTCTGGTGGGGATTGGTTTAAAAATTGATGGTGTGATCGCTAATGCTCAACAGCAGGGTCTGTTCAGAGCTCAGTGCCAGCCTCTGGGGCAGTGGCAGGGCTGTCTAGCTGCCATCTGTCCCCCAGTGACTACTTGTTACCGTAATGGTGCAATCGTGTCTTAAATGGTGTGCTCATAAGTGGAAAAAAAAACACACCCCAAAACCGATAGTCTTGCAAAATTACGGCAGTAAATTTCAGCACCCACAAGTCAGGGAACAGTGTTGTAATCACTTTGCTAGCAATACTGCGTTACCCCTAGGGTCTGCGCGTGAGCAGAACGTGGCATACGTGGCTGGTAATCCAACATAATATATCCTGCTGGATGAGGCCTTAAAAAGAAAATACTACTTTACTTTTCTGTAGAAAGGAATAGGTTGTGTCAAACCCTCGTATGAAAACAAATTTCTTTATAGGTGTGTGTGTGTGTGTGTGTGTGTGTGTGTGTGTGTGTGTGCGTGCATGCGTGTGTTGCATGTACGCACGCCTGCCTGCCATAGTGCCATGTGGAGGTCAGAGGACAACCCACAGGAGTCATTTCTCTCCTTACACCACGCGGGTCCCAGGGACTGAACTTGACGGCAAGCGCTTTCCCCACCCATCGTCCTACCCTCCCGACGTGTTTGTGTATCGTGACATCCGACATCCGAGATTTTATTTCCAAAGGTTTCCATAAGTTACCTCTGATACTTAGTGGGAGGTGTCATTGAACCTCCCATGGCTGGGAAAGCTTGACCTGCCAGAGTGTGAAGCTGGAAGGAAGGAAGGATGTGTGATAGATGGGCTGCCTGGCTGTTCAGAAAGGAGCTGAGCTGAGCTTGTACACTGCAGGGACAGGGGTAGCCATACTGTACACCCCTAGGCTGAGGCCCTCACCCGGTGCTGTGAACCCCATCCTCAATTCCTTTGTCTCCTGACACGGTTGCTTCCTGACACCCATGGCTGCAGCCTCCCCTTCGCCTTTGGTCCTCCAACCGTCCTTCTCAGATGTTTGCAGCCGCGTCCATACACCTGCCTCTCTCTTGTCTCCCGTCCCACCCCTACCCTTTGAAAAGCACCCAGGCCTTACTTTCCGTTGTCTTGTTTATCAGCATCTAAAATAAGAAGTTGCAATCTCTGCTTTATCCCAGCATCCTGTTCATCCCTCCATTAATCGTTTGCTGGGTTCCTGCCCCAGGTCGGGCTTGTGCTGTGCACTGAGGTGTTAGTGAATGCCACAGCCACGGTGTCTGCCTTCACAGGGAACAACAGCAAGCATAGTGGGTCCCAAGGCAGAGGACCCGGACACGGAGGGACACCACTAATGTCTGAAGTTGTGGTTACAGGACTAGGGAGATCGCTCAGTGGACAAAGCCCGAGGACCTGAGTTCGGATCTGACGTCCTCTTCTGGCCTCCATAGGCACTGTACACACGTGTGCACACACCCATACATAGACACATGCATACACATAATTAAAAATAAAATAAAAGATTCGTGACTGTCTCGAGGGAAAGGTAGCCAACTATCCCTTCTTAGAACGATCACTGTTTAGTGGGTAAAGGCAGACTGTATGTGAGTAAACATTGCTCAGTTATGAAATGCACTTAGAATTCTCATGAAGGACCCATGTCTCCCCTCTGCCGCACCACCCCCCATCTCCATTTTGGCCAGGCCCCCAATGTCCTACTGTGCATCTGGTGTCCTGTCAAGGTCACATACTTCTGAAGTCATGGTCTTAGATCATCTTTTATAGCTAGCCTGTACCCTCCCCCAACAGGCTGACTGACCCCTCATTCCTTCCATGGCCACCTGTAGTACTTTGGCTTGCTACCTTTCTTCCTCTTTCAGCCCCTCATATTAGGCCCCTTCACATGTTTTCACACCGTCTTGATAAGACCTCATGTCTGGATGAGGGCCCCATTGCATCTTCTATCTCATGGAGGACGCCACAACAAAATCACCCAGCAAGACTGTAGACTCACAGCTTACCCAGTGAGGTTCCCTGGGCTGTCCAGCTCGCGGTGGGGAGAGGGGATCATATCTCCCTCTGAAGCTTCCTACTCTGGGAATGGGGCAGCAAACCAACTTCAGAGATTAGTCTGGAAACAGTTATCCCGATGACAATGCAGTCTTCCCCAGCCCTCTCTGAGAGGAGCCGGTGGAGTTCTGAAACATTCCAGGCTGTGGCTGAAATCACTGGCTGCCCCCTCCTTGGGAGGCCAGTGCAGTAGCCAGGGTAGTCAGTGGGCTCCTGTGTCATTTATTCCAAGAACAAACACCTAGAGTCAGCATCAGGACCTTGTTGAATAGCACAAGACTAAATTGGTGCAGGGGTTGGCACAACACAACCTCTCTGAGCTGTCCGTCTAGAGGTGAGTGCAGGAAAGCTTGCCTTACTAACCACAGGGGTGGAGGTCTCAGTCCATGCTTCTTTGTGTGTTTTGCACAGAACTGAAGATGTGAAGGAGAACGTGGTGGCGATTCTGCTCAGCGTTCTGGTTTCCCTCCTGGGCTTTCTGACACTGAACCGTGGCTTCTGTAGAGACCTATGGGTCCTGCTCTTCTGCCTGGTCATGGCCAGCTGCCAGTACTCCCTGCTCAAGGCAAGAACCCATCCTCTGTGTGTGTGTGGGGGGGTGGGGGATAGCGAGCAGGTGTGTGTGGGTATGTTACTGTCACTAGCATAGCCTTGCAATCACAAGATGACCTGGGCCCTCTGGTTTGTGTTTTAGAGCGTCCAACCTGACCCCGCCTCACCAATACACGTAAGTGCAGGCCCGTAGCTTGTCTCATCCGCTTGCATTGAAAACAGGGTGATGCCCATGTCTACTCAAAGGGTCACATTTGCATCTGCGTCTGTATCTTGGATGCAGGAGTAGAAGCAATGGATGGGTGCCCAAGTGCATGGCACAAAGCTCTGGCTGGATCTAAGCGCTTGGTGCGTTGGCATTGGAGGAGGGGCAGCTCAGGCATGGGGCGAACCCTGTGTGACAGGTCACCTTTGCTATCTGGGCTCTTATAGGAAAAGACACGGCTTGATTGGATGGTCCACAGGCTGCCATCTGTCTGCCTGCCTTTGTTTCCCACTCATCCCCTTGTCTATCTGATGCTGAGCATCATGGTAGTTCTCTATATTTCTCAGTTTCCTTATATGCAAGTAAAGCTGATTAAAGTCTATGGGGATTGAATGAATATTGCATGTAAATTGCTTCAAACACTGGCTGACACCTAGCAACTGCTCCTCACGTGTTCTTAGTATGTAGTCATAAACTGTGTGTGTTCAAAAACACTCTTACATATACTTTGGGGGTAAGTTATGATCTGGTCACATACACACGGTGGAGGGATTAAGTCAAGTTCATTCGTCTGTCATATCATATACTTTTCTGATGAGAATATTTACAGTGTACTCTCCTCGATTTCCAAGAGCACCCTATGTAATTATTGACGATAGCACCATCACTGTACTATGGAACAGAACTACAAAACTCACTGACCCTATGTGCGCGACTCTGTGTTCCCTCCTACCTGCCCTCCCTACCCACCTCCTGTTCCCTAGCACCTCCCACTTTGCTCATTTTGCTGTGACTCAGATTTGGTCATTTTCCAAACAGAGTGGGGTCATCCAGTATTCCTCCTTCCATGCCTGGCATATTTCTCTTTGCACAATGTTCTCCAAGATCATTTCTGTTCACGCATGACAGAATTGTCTAGCTTTGCAAGACTGAATGATATTTCATGTGTGCATATATATACATACATTATTATTATTACTATTTTATCTTTGTTTGATTGGGTTTTTTGTTTTGTTTTTTGATTTTTTTTGAGAAAGGGTTTCTCTATGTATTCCTGGCTGTCCTGGAACTCACTCTGTAGACCAGGCTGGCCTCAAACTCAGAGCTCCAGCTGCCTCTGCCCTCTGAGTGTTGGGATTAAAGGTGTGTGCCACCACAACCTGGCTGTCTTGTATTTTTAAAAGCACTTATTTGTAAGTATGTGTGCATCTATATGAGTGTATGCAACATGTGTACACGTGCCTGTGGAGGCCAGAAGAAGGCATCCAATCCTCTAGGGATGGAGTTCCAAGTAGCTAAATGACCTGATGTGGGTGCTGAAAAAAGAACTCAGGTCCTCTGGAAGGGTAGCAAAAGCTCTTAACTGCTGAACCATCTTTCCAGCTTCTCTCTCTCTCTCTCTCTCTCTCTCTCTCTCTCTCTCTCTCTCCTCTCGCTCTCACTCTGTGTGTGTGTGTGCACATGTGCATGACCAAGTACACACATGTGTAAGCGGGACTGCACTTTCACTTCCCAGCTGCCCAGACCCAGAAACTATATTAATTACAACACTCCTTGACCAATGGCTTAGGCATATTCCTACCTAGTTCTTAAATTTTAAATTAACCCCTTTCTCTTAATCTATGTATCAGTACAAGGCTGTGACTTACCAGTAAGGTTCCAGTGTCTTTCTCCTTTGGCAGCTACATGGCATCTGTCTAACTTCATCTTTCTCCCTGCATTCAGTTTAATTTTCCTGCCTACCTATACTCTGCCCTGCTATATGCCAAAGCAACTTCTTCATTAACCAATGGTAATAAAACATTTACAGCATACAGAGGGGAATTCTGCATCACACATGTTCAGGAGCATACCATGTATGTAGAGGTCAAAGCATAATCCAGATGCTGGCCCTTGCCTTCTGCTTCACTTGAGACAGGACCTCTGTAGTGTTTCCACTGCTGTATGTGCCAGGGTAGCTGGAGGCTCTTCTGTCTGCTGCGCATCCCCCTGTGAGAGCACTTGGCTTGCAAACATTGCTGCTGCAATCCACTTTTTCTGTGGGTTCTGGTGATTCAAACCCAAGTCCTCTGCTTTCAAGGCAGGGGCTCTCATCCACTGTTTGTACTTTTTAAAGAACGTCTCGCCTTCCTTAAGGGCAGAACCATTCCTCGTGCACCACCAGAGGTCTCCTTTCTCCACATCCTCACCCAAACTTACCTTTCCCCTTTGTAGTAAATGCCATTCTAGCAGGTATGAGTTCATTTCCCACTGTGGCTTTTATTTTCATGTCCCCATATGGAAACTCTGTGTGTGAAGCCAGTCTGCTCTTATTCCTCTGGTTCACGTGCCCTTTATGCTGTATCCCGATAACCTAGAGTCTGATTTGGGAGAGAGTCTGGGCTCACTCAGACCATCGCACTAGTGGCCCAGGATCTTCCAACTCCTAGGTACACATAGCTTCTTCTGGCCCTGGTGCCCCAGTGGTCAGGGTCCACTGGGAGCTGGTTCAGGTGCCAGTCATAGCCGTGTGCCTTTTACCCTTCTGTGCTCTGTGCACCCTTCCTGCCTCTGTCACAGCAACCCCCAAACACGCATGCATGTACACACATGTGCATACACACACACACACACACACACACACACACACACACGGGCTCTGAAAAATCTCTCCAATGAGGGAAAAATATTTTCCCACCATTGTGCATTTAAAAATTTCATATCCAGGGTATAAGACTGATTTTTAATCTGTGCTAGCTCATCATAATTAAGAAAGGCTTTGAACTGGTGGTCGTCACGGTGGCAGATGCTGTCCTGTTAAATTCCTGTTCCATGTAATTGATTTGTGTGATACATCTTTTATTTGAGAGACTCAGCATCAGGATCACTAGTGGCAGCATAATTAGAGTATTAAGATGTAGTGTTGGGAATGCCCTCAGAAACCTGGGGTAGGGGTGCGGCTCTGAAGGGTCACTTCAGCCCATCCCAGGTGCCCCATCACCTCTTCCCGTCCTGTATCTTTCCGTCACCGTTGCTGCTAGTTCACTGATGTTGTTACATGGACTCAAACACTCCTTACCTTGGGGCTGGGGAGACAGCTCAGTCAGTCAAGTGACTGCCATACAAGCATGAGAACTAGAGTTGGACCCCCAGATTCTATGTAAAACTCGGGCAGGGCCACACAAATCTGTAATTCAAGTACTGTGGGTGCAGAGACAGGGTCCCTGCCTCTGGACGGGCCAGCCAGTATGGACAATCGAAGAACTCCAGGCTCAATGGTGTGCTTTATCAAATAAAATAAGATGGAGATGTGATCGAGGAATTGGCTTCTGTACGTGTGTATACACCCATACAAGCTTGTACATACATACACATATTATACACACACACAAGCAAACTTACACATATACAATTCCTTCTCTGCATGGATTTTGGGATGTAGTACAAAACCTGCTAAGACCACAGGGAGGAACGAACAACAAACAAACCTCATGAGTCAGATAAATTTGAGGTTGTCATTACCATGACCCCCATGTTGTTATGTTGAGCTGAGGTCATACTGTCTGACCAAGCTACCATCCCGGGATCCAGGCAGGCGTGTCACAGGGAGAAGGCATGCCACGGGGAGACAGGGGCGTAGTTTTTCATACTGTCACAGTGAACTATAGTCAGACATCTACCTGTGTTCACCGCAGTTGTCAGTTTGCTCACTGGGATTTCTAAGGACATTCAGCTGGTTTGAGCTGAGCTCTAGAAACTCTGATGAGGAAGAGAAGGATGAGGCAGAGGCATTTTCTCCTGTAATGCAGTTTTTCCAGAATGAGAATCAGGCAAGAATTCACATCTTGTTAATCAACGTACAATTCATCAGGTCCAAAAAAACCAACCAAAATGAATTCAGAGAGGAGTCTGCTTTGCAATTCATGAGCTACCTTGCCTGTAAAAAGTGAGCAGGGCTCTGGTCACTTAGCCTCCCCCCATCCCCTCCACCCCTGCGATTCTCATTTCTCAAGGGATTTTCTAAACTGCTCTGTGAACAGCCTGCTGCAATGTTGATGGTGGGTGTGGCTGATGGGAAACTCATGTGCACCCAAGGTCAGCATTCCATTCCGACAGCAGCTTCAAGAATGCTCCCAGCCAGGGGACCCACTATGGAAGTTTAGGTTATAACCAGACTGGGCTGAGGGAACTGAATGAACTTTTAAGAGACTATGATTGGCTTTCACCTGGAGGCACGGGTGACATTTTCGTATTGAAGACTTGGGGATTTCAATGGCTGGTGCAGATGTGCGCTCAGCAATGGGGGAGCATGGGATTTCACCGGGGAGCACTCTGGGGACTTGGGGAGGATAGAGGGTCTTATGTGCTGTGCTGAGGATGGCTCCGGGACCCCAAACACAGGATGCATGCTTGCAACCGCAAAGGCCGGTCCTTTGTAGGGGCTGTGTTTGGTTCTGTAAATTAGCAACACGGAAGACATGTGCGCATTTCTGATGAAGCTCCTGAAAGATGTCGGAGGGTGTTTCATATTGTTCAAGGCCAGATACTATATTTTAATACACATCTCTGTGTGTGTGTGTGTGTTCATACACGCTCACCTGTTCGTGTACAGGTGTACACATGTGCATCTATAGGCCAAAGGACTGGGCCACCTTGATTTTGAGGGCTGCATGAGGGGCTTGGAGTAGTTTGTCACTGACCTGTAACTTGCTAAGCTGGCCAGCAAGCCCTGGGGACCTGCCTGTCTCCACCTTCCCGGCACTAAGATTGTAAGCACGCTACAACATTGGGTTCTGGGGCTTGAACTGAGCCCCTCAGGCTTGCAAGGCAAACGTCTTACTAACTGAGCCATCCCTCCAGCCCCTTAGTCCTTTGATAGGAGAAAGAACCAGAACAAACGATAGTTGTTTAATTGTGTTTCTTAAACCATGTCAGTTTGAGGAAATGTCTCCCATGCGTGCGCTCTGATACCCCACACCCCTATTTATACCAGCTAATTTATGTTGCCGTTTACTTAGCAAGGGCGTTTAGATTTCATTTTGACTTTGGTCTATTATTTTTTAATGCAAAGGAAAATTCTCTTGTATTTATTAATTCATGACCTACTTGGATTCTGAAGAAAATTCCCTACCAGTGCAACAATTTTTTTTTTTAAGACTGAACTTGGCTTCAGGATCAAAGGCAGCCAGTCTCCGTGACAGACCCTGGTATTGTCCTGTTGAAAGATGGTCTTAGAAAAGGACCATTTCTATTTTGGAGGCAGTGGCAATTTAAAGTCCCTTTCTAAATATAGCACATTCAAGGCAGTGTCTAAAAACACCAGTCTGAGACCACACCGATCTCCCTCTGCTTTTTGTGCACAAGGTGGCTCACGAATTGCAAAGCACACTCTTCACCTGGTTCATTGTTGGTTTCTCAGATCTTTATGAATTGTGCATTTATTTCAACCATGTGGGAGTTTTCCTGGGTTTTGCCCTGGAAAGCCCATGGCACAATATTCCATTTTTTATTTAAAAATATTTTAAACTTTTATTATTATTGAGCATGTATGCATGGTGTGTGTGTGTATGCGTGCACGCACACACACACACTATGGTGCATGTGTGGAGGTCAGAGAAGGACAGCCTTGTAGAGTTGACTCTCTCCTTTCACCTTGATATGAGTGTCTTGGATAGAACTCTGGTCCATCTTGTACAGCAAACACTTTTACCCACTGTGCCATTTTAGCAGTATTTTGAGGACCAGGATGAGGTCTGCAAAGACTTTGATTCCCCTCGGGTAGCATGCTTTTTTAGTCAAGGAAGTCAACTGTTCTGCCATATTGAGGCCTGCCTATCTGGCCATCACCGCTTTTTCCTCCATGGCCTGCTTCCTGTCATGAGAGAGTTAAAGCCCCACACATAATGCTATGTCTTGCTGATAGGGAACCCACGTTAAATGGACACAACTAACAAAGGTTTCAAGGAACCCTGCAGCTGAAAAGAGTGAGGAGAGCAGAAAGCGTTGCGTTAGACAGGTTTTCTCGGGAGTGGGGGTGGTAATTACATTTTTAGGGAAATCTTGTTGGACTTCGATGGCAATATTCCCTTTGATATTTTCATTCTGGTTTGGCAAAATAAACATTAAGCATTATTTTAGCTCTGTTTATTTGTCTCCCCACTTTCTCTTCCTGAAATTTTGAGCTTGTAAAATTACAGCAGGGTGGGGTTGGGTATTGGTGTGGGGATGGGTAGTGGGGTGGGGATGGGTGTTGGGGTGGGACAGGTATTGGGGTGGCGGTGGGTGTTGGGGTGGGACAGGTATTGGGGTGGTGATGGGTGTTGGGG